AACATGAAAACACTCAACTGGAAGCCATAATCTATGCATAAATGAAATAGAGTTCTGCACCAAGTCTATAGGTTTTTAAATGTTTTAGTTGAGCAGGGATCTTCAAATATTAATGAAGACATTATCGAAGAAAACTTTATCATTATAATTCTCAGATTTTAACATGAGAGAACTCCAGTTATCTTAATGAAAATTAAAATTGAAGAAGTCATACATAATATTAAAGAAAATTGATGAAGAACACTTTAAGGTATATAAAAGGGAATAGTGAGTGTTTAAATTCTGGAGTCAATTTTCAGCATCATATGGCTAACATTGATATATAACACTTTATGTTTTCATGTATGTGCATAAGTGTATCTTCCCATATCTATATAGTAACCTCAAATCTAAATATAATCTAGCTTAGTAATAGTGGCTAAGGATTACACTTAAATAATAAAATGTTTCTAATATCAGAGTATAATCGTTTTATTAAATTATTTTATTAATTTTACTGTGTAAAAAGAATACTGATTTTTGTTGGCATTAAAGTTTGCAATTTATTTTTTGAAAGCTCAGGACCCTGATGTAAAGTACCTCAGTACTGTAGCAATTCCATTAACCTTTTCCTATAACCTGAGCTAAAAATAGTTTTATAATCCACAGTCCTTTCATATTCTTCACAATTTTTATTGGTTTTAAACAAGCTTCAAATGGTGTGGAAATAATAATCTTTTTCTTTATAATTGTTTTTGACATAAGTTTCTTCTAAATGGTTTCAGTAGTTCAAAACTCTGTGATAACTTTATCAGAGGCTTAATAATTACATTTTATTATGTAAAATATTGTTTATTCCTTTTAAAATTCAAGTCTACCAATGTTGCCTTGGTAACAGGCCAGTCTCTAATATTTTTCTAAGTGATTCACTGTCCTATACCTTAGAAAAGTTCCAAGTCTCTTTCCCTCTCTGGTGACTTTTGTTTTCACTAAAGGCAGCTATTCATCTCACTGACACAAAGAATGAACGTGGTCAGTCCAGTCTCCTGACACTCTAGCCCTACCTATAACTCAACAGATATCAGCATGATATTTTTTAAAACATTAAGACAATCTTTTAAAAGTATTATTCAGCAACTATTACCAAGGCATAAGACAGAAAAAAATCAAAATATCTCTTTGCCTAAATCATGCCTTAACACAAAATAATACGGTGGATAGTTGAATATGTGACCAATTGCTCTGGAGTTTCTGTCAGAACCAGAGCTAAAACAGCTGTTTTCCAATTCTTGTAGGAAATTTACAGGCTTGATCCCCTAAAGAATAAGAAAAGTAATGCTGCTATCTAGAATCTGTAAGTCTTTCCTGCGTATCTTTATTTCAGATACAACAGGCTCTTAGAAAGGATTGAGAGAATTAAGCAGAGTACAAGTCTCCCAGAGACTAAAACATAGCCTTGTCACATCATATTCATTATGTTTTCTTACACACCACCCATACCTCGAATGCTTTTTTCCATCAAAACAACCATAATGGCTGAGAGGATGTCTTAATTTCTCTCGCATTTTGTGTCCAAGCTTCTATGACCGCAAAGTGTTTTTCAATCCAACCCTTTGTCCTTGCTCTGCTCAATATTTAGAAGGCAACTCAGCGTGTGCATTATGAATCTCTTTTCTTTTAACACCTTAACAACCTTTGATGCCCTAGCCATAGTTCTCAGCCACCTGAAAAATAACATTCATGTCCTGTTATTCTCTGAAAGTTCACCAGGGTCTTCCTGTGCTTAGTTCATGAAATTACACAAAACCAGTGACAATATTTAACAAATATAATTCTTATTATCAAGGTCATACATTTTTATGCACTAGAAACTATAAGAGTCAGACTATTGGGCTTTTGTTCACTGTTCTCCATACTACTATGTTTTGTGAGAGCAAGTTCCCAACGTTCTCACAAAGCCATCACAAACTCTTTAGTGTCAGTGCGTCTTTAAATCAACATCTCTGAGTTCCTGCATTCATGAAGGGAAAACCCATCCCATTCTTCTTGCTGCCGTATGAAAGCTAGCTTGTACCGGCCTGTTCTTCATGTTGTCGTGTGAAATCTAGCTTATTTATTCTCCATGAGCAAAATCTCTACTGGAAATGCATCATGAATGACAAAGATTTTTTTTCTAATAAGCTATTTTATGTTTCTTGCTCTAGATCCTTATATAATACACAGCTATTTATAAAAGTTATTTTACATGACTTGGTAAGTTGTGATATGTTTTCCTCTGTTTGGGGTCATAATCATTTGCCAAGGCTACTTTTCTATTTTTCAGAATGCAATGATAAGGTTTTTTGTTTTTATGTTTTAGCTTTCAGAACATTGTTTTACTCTGTTTATTGATTTTATTGTATCAGCATTTGTTGTAGCTATGAAGTACTGGCATACATCCAGGAAATCAAAATTACTGGGATTTGAATGTTACTCTGTCTGAATTAAGATATCTGCTGACAAAAGATATTTGGAGGTAAAATATACTTACAGTATCAATGTGAATGACAAAAAAATAATGTGTCTCTGATTTTTGACCCAAGTTTTATAATAAAAAAAGAGCATTGAACTCAGTTGACAAATAAATACATCTAGAAGATGAATGAGTTAATCATTTATCACAAATTATTGAATGTCAAAGCTTCCACTAAATAGTTACACAATAAAGCACATACATGACACAAAAAACTCCACTTGAGGCTTAACTCATTTGTCTTATAATTAAATATATTATACATACTAATCCATCCCTCTTTAAACCAAAAAAGATTTAGTTACTTATCAAAAACTTTAGTATATTAGGGATTTGTATGCAGAAAATAGTCTATTTCACCATGTTCAATGTAACTTATCTGGCTTCAAAAGCAGAGCATGTGGATTCTATATATTTTTCCTGGCTTGCAAGATTCCCACATTTGATTCATCCAAAGATAAATGCTGATCCTAAAATAATCACACTGGAGTATTTAAATTTATGAATAAATTGGTTTAATTAAAAATATGTAGGCTTTAATTTTGGAGAGGAATTTAAACTTTGGAATGTTTTGTGTAGCATTTTTAAGTTAAATACACAACAGATAAAAGTAAGAAACATGACTGAACTTTATAACCAGGGTGTGTTCCATCAGATAATTGAGTTTTTAATGTGGAGATATTCTTTTAATTCAAAAAGCCTACATGGTACTTATACCTCCAGAATTCTGTGATGTTAATCTTTTATGATAGCAATTAGTTTCCAGGATTTCTCAATTTACAAACTGACTAATGCTATTGCCTAAGCTCTAGGTGGTTCCTGTTAACCAGACAGGAAAGTTAATCAGAAGTGTGTCAGAGCCAAAGGATGTTGAGAAACTGGAATATTTTGAGATACATTGTTTAAACAGGATCATGGAAAGACAGAAAGGATTACTAAATTCCAAACCTCAAAGGTTTGTCTGATAACTGATTTCCTAAACACTGGGATTAAAAGTTGAAAATACTTTTAGGAACAAGAATGCAAACACATACTTAGAAAACGCTTATCATTACAGAAAACTTCAACAGTGTTGCAGCCTTTGGGTAATAAATACCTTAGGAAACATATTTCTGTGAGGCGTCAAACTTTTTATACAAAAGAAAAATAACCGCTACTTTTAATTCTTGGGCCATTTGTGTATCTAGTTTTATATTTTTACATCGCTGTCATAAATAAATTTAAATATGCAAGTTAACTTCTACAATGTCTAAAATTTCTTTAAACAAACAATTTAAAAGAAACACTTCAGATGAATATTTTGCACTTGCGTATAAACACAAAAAGTCAAAGATTTCTTTAAAAGCCAAACACAAAAATCTTACATGGAACAGGCTTTACACTTCACACATGGTTTTATTTTATATACTGGTATTAAAATAATTATTATTAAAACACAGATAATATATCAACTTTTTATTAAACATTTCTTTCATTTTTCTATATAATTTATTGGCTTAAGATGTCATATGCCATAACAATTAGAGCATGCATATAAATATAATTAAACATGAATATTTTTACAAATTTAATTAGTTGGATCTCACAAGGTTTTGTGAACTACTACTAAGTTAAGTACCTTTTGTGTTAATATAAGGGAAGGTATTTTGATGACAGTATTTTGTACCCTTAGGAGAACATAAGAAACAAGACTGTTCTGTTTCATTATGTAGCAACTGGATAGTGGCAGCGGGAAGAAGTAGCCGAATACTGAATACTGGAAAACAACTCTCTTAGGGTTTGTTATTAGTCTTGTTCTATTATTATTTTCTTTAACACTGTTTATAAAAATCTATGTCCACATCCTAAACATTTTCCTTGTTAAGCTACTCTTTTCAGTTGAAATGTGAGAATTGGATGCTACCTTATTACATCTAGCAGCCAACAGTATCCTTGGAGAAGTACAGTTGCATGTTTAGTGATGGTAATCCTTCAACAGATCTTAGTAGACCTCCATGGTGATGTATGCCTTTAAACCAATGCTCTGGAGGCAGAGGCAGGCATATCTCTGAGGTTGTGTTCAATCCAGTCTACAGTGAGTTCCAGAACAGCCAGGGCTACACAGTGAAACCCTGTCAGAAAAGAAAGAAGGAAAGAAAAAGAAAGAAAGAAAGAAAGAAAGAAAGAAAGAAAGAAAGAAAGAAGAAAGGAAGGAAGGAAGGAAGGAAGGAAGGAGGGAGGAAGAGAGAGAGAGAGAAAGAGAGAGAGAGAGAGAGAGAGAGAGAGAGAGAGAGAGAGAGAGAGA